ACCTGATAGCTGCCAGATGGTGACCTGAGAAGTTTTTTTTTAGTTATAGATAGCCTTGAGACTGAATCAGCACTCATGCTATAGGCTCCTTAATAGATATCAAACTTGAAGATTTTATACTATTTAAATGAATCCCATTTTATATTATGAAATACACTTTATCTATAATTCTTATAACAATTAAAATTTTTTCCTTAGTAGGAGTCTATTTAGAAATAGAACATGGACTGATCATTAATAGGCCTGTTATGGTACTTGAACTAATACCTACCAAGAGGTAGGCACACATTAGTACATTGCTAAGAAAATCCATATTCATTTAAAGTTCTGACACTTTATTTAGAAAAATTATACCCATTCTTTTAATTATTTGAGCAAATGTAATGAGGGTATTGTTAACTACACTTCAGAGGACTTTGCTTTCTCCATTTTTTTTTTAGTAATGTGCATCTACTTGTAATTAAAGGCATGCTGCATTAATGATGCCGAAAGTCTCCAAGGGAAACATTTAATGTCCACCTCATATTATTATGCCAGAATTACATGCACAGAAGACTTTTTAATAATCTTTGCTCCCTAATTTAGTTTTGATTGGCTCTGAAATCCATAGCAGCACGCAAGGGTTCACATTTCCAGTCATCAGCACTTCTGCACCATAAATTGTACAAACACACACAACTACTCCCGTCTGTAGGCTGCTTTTCAAAGCTTGTGTTTAAGTTATCCAGAAAATTAGCTGCAGGCTGGAGATAATTGCAGATAATTTTGCCATTTTTAAGCTACTGGAGTGTTGCATGGAAATATGACAGCTAAGTTTGTCTAAACACAAAGGACAAGTCAGAGCTCTGCTTTGTCACTCAGATTTACACACTGGTTTTAGATCAACCTATTTGGTTTTGATGCAAATTAAGACAAATTGGAGTCACTAAAACGATCTGTGTTTTCTGACAAAACCATGCTACCAGAACCTCTTATGTAGCTGATGGAGGACATGATCTATACAACATGTCAGCCCAATCTTAAAAAAAAACAAAATAAAACATAAAAAAAAACAAATAAATAAAAACAGGAGGTTAATCCTCTCCTATTCTCAATTCTTCCCCTTTAACAAAAGCTTAATGATTTGGCTCTTTGGGGGGCCAGAGCAATAGTAGAGTGGCTAGGGATTTTGCCTTCCATGCCACCTGGGTTCAATCCCCAGCATCCCATATGGTCCCCCGAGCACTGTCAAGAGTAATTAGTGAGTAATTATTGATGTGCAGGAGTAACCTATGCACATCATTAGGTGTTACCAAAAAGAAAAAAAAATGCTTTGACCTCCAACAGCTTAAAATACAAAGAAAACGCATGCTTTTAATATGCACCTACTCTACTAGAATAAATAGATGTAGTGGAATTCTCTCATAGAAGTTTATAAATGCTGGTACTATTATACACAGCATCTTTAAATTATTAGGTATTAAAGAACAGGCGATCTGGGCGAAGAAAAAGAGACATATTGGTAAATAGAATTATGCAGCCCCATTTTCCCCTTAAAATTTTCAGTCTAGAGGAAATCCAGCATTCAAGGATGGTCACTGGCATATAATAATGGAGTAAATGCATGAAGCAGTAACACCAGCTTAGTGCACTGCCAGAGAACTTCAACTTTACACAAAATAAATTGGCCCTGAGAATTACGGGCTATTTCTCTGGCCAAATGTCCCCTCGGTGCTCAGAATTGCTACAGTCACAGCTAATAGGGGTGTCACTAGCTGAGCAGGTGATTACTGAAAGCATTTTGCAGCAAACATTTACATATAAGGGCTAAGTAGTGATTGTGCTTCTGTGGCAGCTACCCTGATGTAATGGGCCATAATGACTCTGAGGAAGCAGGTATGGAAGCGTGTGTCAAGGAAGGGAGAATGTGAAAGTCATAACATAAATGGCTTTATGGATTCCCATTAGACCTTGGGCTAAGGAGCACCTAAACAGGTTTGATATGACAGCCTCCTGAGACAGCTTTACAGCCAAGTGTCAGGAACCGTTATACTAAAGTGTTTGATGGAAAATCCAAAAGTGCTCAGAGGAAGTGTTACTATATTAGTTAGCCACTATCATTAACTTGGTATCTGCCATGCATACAAATTGTGCCCAAGCATGCATTTAAAGGAGATTATTAATTCTGTTACGCCAATCATATGCATATTAAGTAGTCCAAATGAAGCACTGCCAGGTAGCATTTCACATGGCTAACATACAGCCCTGAAAAACAATTCTGTTCCACGACAAGCTGAAACCCACCAAGGTTTCTGACTGTGTGCCTCATAGCAAGATGCAGCCTTAAAAAAAGACACCTCTTAAACTTATAACATATACATGGCACTGTACCTGAGGGAGCTGAGGAATATCCCTTTAATTTCCTTTCTTTTCCTTTGCTGCCTCACATCACTTAGCCAGTAGTCTGGTAGGAATTGCTTGTTTCAGGACCTTAGACCTTAGTGAAAGGCAGTCATGAGAAGTTCTATAATGCGATTTTTCCCACTCGTGATCCTGATGACACCAAGCCACCTTTCATCGTGATGGACAGGATGATGCTGAGCAAGCATTTGCTTGCCACAGGCTAAGATCAGGGGCCCTTTACCCCTCGTTCACACAGTGCACACCTCACACAGGGCCTAGGCAAGTGGAAATGAGTGTCTGAAACAGAGTGCATTGCTATTTCATGTGAATGCCATAAATTACTTTTTTTTAATTCCAGAAGATAATATAATTAATTGTAGCAATATAATTGCTACAAGCATGCAAACCAACAGACAGAGCTGGAATATTATGAATTATATGAAGAGTCAGTGGTCAGGGACATGACTCATGTGGTAGAGCACATGTCTTGCATGCACAACATCCTGGGTTCAACACCCAGCGTGCTGTGGATCCCTATGCACCATTATACACCCCCAGCATGAGCACCACTAGGCCCCTACAGCATGAGCAGCAATGAAAAATGTTAGTTACAATGATAAAATGAAGAGTTGGTCCAGAACTCATCCCTGATGGAGAAGAGGAGAAGTTATCACTCAGCCTGTCCTCTGAACAGCACTTCTCAGATTTGCCATGAAATCTTAAACTTGATCTTTGATAAGAGACTATTAAAGATCTTGTATAAAGGCAACAAATGCCCTTGCTCTTACAGAGTTATTATAGTTTCACTGATAGGTCTGAATAAGCTTTTCTTCTAGAAATCTGTGATTTCTAAAACACACCTTCTTTGCAAATCACATACTTGTTTCCCAGAGAGACGATCCTTTCTCTGAAATATTTAGTCTTTCGGGGCACTTTAGTCATAGTGACACCTAATAGCCAAGCTCTTTTTCTCACTTTCCACAAAATCAGGTTTAAACTATAATTCAAACCAGTCCCCAAAGGCACTTCTGAAAAATGGCAAGCCCTTAGATTTTAGGTGAAAACACTCTTTATTGCTCAAAATTGTTTCCTGTTACAAAACCTTTTCTATAGCACTAGGTCTAAGAGGATCCTATGCTAATTTAACTCACCTGGGACTATCAGCAGATGCTCCTTTGATTAATAGTTTCACCATCATGAAAATGCCAGGCCAAGTTCAAGATAATAAAGTCAGGTAAGAATACTATTAAAGTCTGACATATGATTATGTCTTTTATGGAAGAGTGGAGAGAAATGGAACCACAGTTTCTGTATCAAGTATAGGCCATCTATATCTTAAAAAAATCTTATGTTTATGTTACCTGAATTCTTCAGCATGTTGACTCCTAACATTTTAATCACTAAACTCTTCACTTCTGTCTTAATAGTATAAGTTCTGCAATGTCTTCAGTATAACCCAAAAATGACACTCCAATTTTACCATTACCTATTCAGCATTCCACCCTACAAAAACATATGTACACCATGAAAACAATGAATTCAGTTACTTTGCTAATCAAAAGGATAGATTTTGAATCTGTGTGCCCTCTTTACCGCAAATATGATTTATTACTTTACAGAAAATATGAGTTCACCATTTCAACATTCACCTCTAAAATTCCAGGAGGAGAAAACAGCGACCCTTGAAAACAAGGGATTACCCAGAGCAACAAATCAGAGGCTTCTGAGGCCTGAAGAGAGCTCAGAGAACTGGACACGTGCCTAACACACACAAATCCCTTCCCTGGACCCACATGGGCCCCTGGCACTGTACAATGTAGCCCTGCAGACCCTCATGCACCACTAGGCATAACACGAGCAGCCCCTGGGCCCACAGGCTAGACACAGCACAGCAGGCCTGCACAGTAATACCAGGGGGAAATGATAGCTCCTCAGCACTCTCTAGAAACTTCCCTTATCCTCCTCTGCACACCTGGCAGAAATAAGATTTCTCTGGCAAAAAAGTTTACCATCAGGCTTCAGTCAATCTTTCCTTCTCATTAGTCCCTTAACCACAGATTTTCAAATCACCAGGTAAAAATTGTGAAATCTAACCGTCTAACTTTGAGCTACAGAACTTGGCACTACACACACACACACACACACACACACACACACACTATATATATATATATATATATATATATATATATGTGAAAAAAATCCTTTGTATTTCTTTTAACTAAGGCTTACACCAGATTGTCTCCCTACCCTAACGCATACATCCTAATCACAGTCCCAGTCTCTGATTGGAAATGTAACCTTCTGTTCGACTTGTTGTTGTGTAATTTATATACAATGCACCTGTCTCAGAGAAACCTTTGGCTTTCAGGAAAGTAGAAGGTCAATTTTAGAACATCAATCACACTGTGAAAATTGGGAGTCCAGGTCACGCGAGGCTCCGGTGAGGATGAAGCTAACACGTTAGCATGAATCTACCACCTGCAGATCCAGCTCATTGCACGAGCCCAGTTTTACACGCAACCCTGGGGACAGCACAAAGGACTGGAGCACACAAAAGTATGTGCATATATGACATAACCCCTTTCCACTTAGCGTGTTTAAAAGGATTGCCTCACCATTGCACAGAAGGTCTCCGGAGGGTCTCCACAAGTAATGTCTGGAGGATCCAGTTTCACTTTCAGGTATTTTGTCATGTCCGTGGATTCCGGCTGACAGGCCATGTAATCCCAAACTTTCCCTTCTTCTGTATAGATCTGAGTCTTACACACATCATAATGTCCCCACACAAGTGGGTAGGGCTGCATCACCGAGGACACTGTAACCCAAAGGGCATGGATTGACAGGAATCTTGACAAATACATCTCTAAACTCTTGGCAGTCCTGACGGAAACTAAAGCAGGATTTGCTTGTCTGTGTCTATGTCTATTTCATATATACATATATTACTATGTATGTAGGTAGGTCTGTCTATCTTTTTTTTAAAGGATGAAGTCTCAATAAAGACTCCACAACAGTAAATGAAGTGTTATGATACTGTGTGTGTGTGTTCAGGAACTCACACACTTTGTATCTGGACTTTGGTGGAAGCCTAACATTCTTGTGTGTTTTGCATTAACAACTTGCAGATTTTTGTTGTTGTTGTCCTAGAACATATCTATTAGGCTCAAGTCTAGTATGCGTTTGTAAAAGGTGTCCAGTAGCCGATTGCAAAATGATGACTCTCCCGTGGTAGATCCGATAACCCTGGGTGATCCTCGACTTTCACGGCTCAGGAGGGATGCTGAGAAGCATTGAGATATCAGTCTCTGAAGCAAAAGGATGAGTGTCTATAGCCTGGTGTCTGTTTCCCATCAATCATTCTTTTCTTCTGGCACCAACACCCTTTTAGAAAGAATAAGAGTAAGAGTTATTGTCCCCGAATCAATGCATTACAAAATGTATGATATGTTGACATTTGGGAGGTTTGATGCAATAAAAAGCAAATTGGTGTAATATGGATAACCTTTACTTGGCTGTTTTGCTAGAATGAGCAAACCACAGAAATCATTCACAGCGGAGAGAATTTTGCTGTGAAGTGTTTTTAACTCTTCCCTAACAAAGACAGATGTGTGTGTTCTAGGTGAGTTACAGGTTTCGCTTCAAAAATTATATTTCCATCTTGATAAAACTGAGAGCAGGAAGTCAGATTTAAACATTTCTCATATATTGCAATGCCGGAAAATCTTTCAGAAGAACAATGGGGGAAATGAGTGCTTTTATTACAATGACAAAGAAAGAAGTGACAACTACTTGTGTGCCTTTTGTATCTTGGCAAAGAGACCACCCAAATCTCTAAATTCCTTGTATAGTTCTTAGCTCTTGTCAGCTGGAATAAAAAAAAACAGCATTGTTGGCACAAGTCTATTCCTTTGGGTTTGCTCATTATATTGGGACAATTTTGCAGTTTTGTTTAGTTGCATGTAGTGATAAAGACAACTCGGCTCTCTGAAAAAAAAATATTCAAAAACAGAACCAAAGGGGCAAATATTCCTTTCCAAATAATTTTCTATTTTCTTATATCTTTTTATAGCCATTACATCTACATTTGCAGTTACTTTCTCTAACAGAAGAAGAGAATTTGTCCCAAAGGCAAATATTATACACTGCTTTAAAACTAAAAGCTCTGTAGTAAAATGCACAATTTAAAATGCACATATAAAAATAGCTAAGGGCAAGTTAACAGGCCATGAAGCAGAATAATATGGCACTAATTCTGAGAGAAAATAAAAATTACTGTTTAAAAGTATTTTGGGTTAACTGATAATGTAGCGTACATTGCTATGGATGTAGCCATTGATGAGGTTCTCTGGTAGCTTTTCTCTTTAGAGATCACTGTCTAAACCTAAACAAACCATATTTGAAATCCAGGTTTTTTAAATTGAGCATTTGCTCAATTCATTGATTTATATTGTAATAGTCCCAATAATTAACTACTTTTCACACAACTGGAAAAAGGGAGCAAAAGGAGTTTCAGAAAATTCCTTTTGAAACTTCAATTCATGTGAAAGAATTAAATATGGAAGTTCACTATCTTAAACAATCTCATAAGAGGAATTCACTATATTTAAATAATACACCATCTTAAAATGAACTAAGCCACAGAGACTATGAAATGCCAACAGATGGTTGAATTGTGTTTCCATAGCAAAGTAATTTATAATAATTGCTTTATGGATGCAAGTGCAATTTTCATTATATTCGATTCATAAAATGTTATCATACAGCTGCAATTTGTGATATTTTCTATTAGGAAAAGTGTTGAATATTTGAGCTCCTATGAAGCAATAATTAGCAGTTTGTCTAAACATGTATAAACTACAGATTTGAATCTGTGTCTTCTTTGTAATATAAAGAGCCTTCTGTGTTGAGTACATTTTGAAATCTTAAAACTAAGAAGAAAAAAATCAAAGAGAAACATTTTTTGACTACTACAAACTTCTGTAGTATTTTTTCAGATTCATTAATAATTTTAAATTGATACTTGCAGAAACATACAACAATTTGTCAATTTAATCTGAAAAGGTGTTAAAATAACACAAATTTACATTTTGTGGATGCATTTTTCAACTGTGTTTACTAATTTATTACCACAAGAATACTTTAATAAAAATGGCAGAGAGGTGAGCATTAGAACTGATAAAGTGCAATATCTACTAGAACAGAAATTATTAATTTATTCTTACTTTTTCAATTCCTAACTTCAAATACATAACACCTTCTTTATCAAGAAAAGATTTACTCTGAAGACATGGGGCATACTGCATGAGTTTGAACTGAGTGAGCAGTATGAGTTCATTTTTAAATATTATTTATTTATAAAACGTGACCCTAAGAAAATATTTTAATGGTCCCTGAGATTAATTTACACATTTTAACAAGAAAATGGTGAACTCTTAATCTACTTATCCCTAGTGAAATTAAGTGTTCACCCATATTTTTCCTTACTGCAATTGCAACATAAAGCATGAGAATACTGACATATATTTGCATATATACTAAATAGTTAAATTATTCTAAGAAACATATATACATATATATGTATGCAGATACATATATAGTCATACATAGGAAATTGCTACTATTTCCTGAAATCCAATATAACAAATTCTCATTAAAGAATATCAAAATTATAATGATGGCCATTACACAGAGTTGTGGACTACACTATTGATTGAATTTAGAGGCTGACAAGGAAAAATGCAGAGGAGTGCAAGATATTTGAATGTTAGGCAGTTGCACTACTGTGCGACAGACATTCTTGACAAGAAGCAGCCAATTATAGCTTAAATTTCTGGCACATAACCAGTTGTGATTAATAGTTTTCCATTACATTACAGACATATTATTAATGTATTAAAAATGTCAAGCTTTGGCAAGCACTAATATGGCATGGCTCAGTTAGTCTGCAGAATTTACATTTAATGAGCTCCCATTGACACACAGAAAAGATATTGACCATGGCTTATTACAGATCAGAAGCTGAGGGTCACAAAACTGGCCTTTAACTCGAATATTTGTGCAGTCTAGTTTTTATATTTGTAGTGTCACTTAGTACAAATTCTCCATACAGGGCCTCCTTACTTTTCAGTGTCACACAAGCTTCAGGGAAAACCCTCTTAATTTAAAATTACTAAGGAAAAAATCTAGGAACTTCTCTGACACACAAGGGCTTCAGAGAAACCACTGTCAAAGTCACTAATTTTTCTAGTTGTAACTAGTTGTAACTAGTCAAAATCACTAATTTTTCTGGTTGTGTCTTGTTTTCCAAGAAAATTAAACGATGAAAATCAATGAATATAAAGTACACTTTAACCTCTGTTCCCTGAAAGCACTGATTCCCATAGCATCTGGCTATGCTTTCAATCACGTTAAAATTATCAATAGCTTCTTAAAAGCTAGATCATCCCAGCAAACAGTTAGGCAACCTGATTACAAGAAGAGCAGTCCATGACATATTTGGGGATTTAATGTACTGAACCAATCTCTTCTGGCCCATAACCAAACAAATTGCCAGGTAATGTGGTCTTTGAATTTTTCTCAAGTGTTCGTTATTACCTAATATAAGCAGCTTTACAAGGCCTTTAAGAAGTTCAAGATCTAGGTCTTCACTTTTGAGCCCTAGATGTCACTATAAATAAAACTATCAGCTCTACCTGTTACCAAAAATATAGAGAATTTATGTCCCTTTGATTATATGTGTATATATGTATGTATATTATATATATGTACATATGTATGTACATATATTAAGGTGAGTGCTCCATAGATATTAATCGCTGTATAAATTGACAGAGCCAATGTAAAAGTATAAAATTGTTTTATGTTTTTCCAACTGATAGACATTATTAATCTAAACTAAAATGGGATATAAAACAGTTTTGCATGCATGGCTCCTTTTTCCCAGATTCTGCAGTTTGAATCCCTTACAGCTTGAATTCATTTTGCAGGAGGAATTTCGGAGGACTCTGAATTCAGCAGAAAGGAAATCTCCCAAAATATTATATGAAAGTAATGATTACAATTACAGACAAGGATAGTCTAAAATCAACCAGCAGTTTCATCAGTTTGAGAGGGAAATATTGACAGCAAATCCAGGAACTCTAGCTCATTTTTTGGTATTCATTTTTATCACATAATCTCTCTTGGAGGTGGGGGTGGGGGTAGGCTATTTAGTCCATAAATACTCAGCTCTCCAGAGGCACCTGAAATAGACAGCTATTGACTCATTCCTCATAGACATTAAGAATTTTTATAAATATGCATGTTTCTGAATGAGATGAAACAAAGAGAACACTGAAATATAATCATATTTCATCCACCAGGTGAAAAAAACATAGATATATACAAATTTCATAATCTATCAAAATTAGTATCTTCCAGCACTGTCGTAATGACATTGACTAGATGAGATATTTAACATATATTGAATGCTCTTTGCGTGCATTTATTTGTCGGTAAAAAAAGCTTTTTCTAGTCATCTGAATGAGAACCATTTACTTCTATCCTTTTGTTAGCTGTCTCTCAGAATATAAGAAATTCAAAATGTACTGCAACATCATTGGCATGTTTTACTCATCCTTGATTGGGTATTATGAGTAACTGCCTATCACAAGATGCTTAATAAAACCAAATTGCACACCTTAATGTTTGAAAGATTTCTTTTCACTAAGAGAAGAATGATTAGAGAAATTAGAGAGTTATATTTTGCAGCATATTTCAGGATAAATTGGTACATAAAATTATATCAGAATCAGTTAAACCTAGAAGAAATCCATGTTTCATTACCATAGAACAACAAATCTTCATTCTCATGCAGAAAGTTCATAGCCACGGTTTTGAACATACGTCTTAGAAAATCTACACCCACCTAAAGTTTTAGAACAAAACTCTGGATTCTATAAATAGAATTATATTTTGGTACATTGGTGGCCTATAATACCTATGATATTACTCACACAAATACTTAAGGTATCACTGATTTTCAGAGTTGCATGAAATTTTCTTTCTTTCCAAGCAACTTGGCGCTTTCTT